ACCCAAAAATCCTTATCTTGTTAAGGTCTGGCTTCACGTTCATCCCTTTCTCAGCCCGGGTTACATTTCCAGCCAATGCCACCGTAGGACAACGGATCAATAGGTACGTTGCAGTTTGAGTCACCTCTGACCCCATGGTCTTTGATCATACCGTTTTGCTGAGGGGAATAAGCTACCGTTGGTTGAACTTGAATGCCTTGCTTCTTGTAGTAATTGCGTTGTTCTTTCGAGAAGAATTCCTGGCCTTGATCCACGGTGAGCTTACAGATTTTTGTCTGCCATTGAGTTGTAGGCATAGCTTCATAATCTCTGAAACAACGGTACACCTCTGATGTGCGCTTGATTGGGTAGATCACGGCAAAATGCGTCCAGTCGTTCATGAACGACACGACAGAACGCGATCCATCCCCTGCCGGTGGATCAATGGGGCCACACACATTCGAATGAAGTCGCTCTAACGGACGTGTGGCACGTTTTCTGACACACCAATTGAATTGAGCTTCTCCACAAAACCTGTAGCCATTTCGTGCTTCACAAGATTGTTCAAAGCTTGTTGACTTGCATGGCTCAAGCAGCGATGCCACAATTCGCTTGCCTCTGTCACGCTTATTTAAGCCTGTCCAGTAGTACCGACATCCAATTCCAACTGGTACAAATTTCCACGCAGATACGCTACACCGATCAATTGTCATCCTTTTGGAATTCCGCACGATCTTGACCTCCACGACTTGTGAATAATACGTTGACTTCAGCCTGCCAGAGCTTCTTGACCGACAGCAGGTTTTCTCGTAGATCCGGCAATAGCACTACGTTCTGTATGTGAAATTCAATTCCTTTGTTAGACATACCTTTGATTTCACCAGGATGCTTTCCAACCAGGGACACCGCATTCTTGGCCACATCAATAATAAACGGATCCTTCAGTTTCCGCATGGACCGTAGATGGCTTGCATCATTTATAAGGTGAGCGCTGCTCCCCGAGTCTACGCAGAAGTGGATCTTCCCAGTTTCAGGCTTCCTCTGGTCACCGTTTCTTCTTCACAAGACAGTCATTTTTCATGTGTCCAGGTTTTCCACAGCGATGGCACTTGCCAGCAAACTTCTTCTGGTTCTTTCTTATACCTCCTATAAACGCCGAACCTTTGTCCTCACTCGAGTCATCCAGACGATCTGCCGTTTACTTTCCTCAGCTAGCAGCCGCTGCTTGACTGTTTCCAACTTCAGGTCCTTCTCCGCCAGATTCTCGAGTCCACACAGCTAAAAAAAGTAGTGTAAATTTCCGTTACTATGATGCACATAAATGGAGCGTCATAAATCATACAAATTTACATTATAAATCGTGTAAATTTATGAGACATGTCATGCAATATTCCATATATTGTATGCAACTTTCCACCTTTGTTTGCAACATTTCTTGCAAGCTGCTAGTTTACGTGAAAAGGAAGTTTACATGTAAGAATGTTTGAATGCATGGATGTTTACATCGCCAGTAAAATTCAGAATTTTTTGGTGTGCAGTACCAAGCGATCGTATCTTCCATTGTAGCTCCAGCGGACTTCAGTTGCCGGACAAGGTCATCGAACGTATTGAAATAAGTTCGCATGGATTTTCCTTCCTTCTAACGTAGCCGCGCCAATTGCTTTCTGAGCAATGTTTGGCTTGAAACAGACTGCTTCGCAAGGGTTTCTTCCAGGGCCTTCCACATTCCAGACGCCGTTCCCTTTTCTCGGACAACTTCAAGGATTTCATCCGCAGCAAATCCCACAAGTACAAACTTGCCCTTCCGTTTGATCCCATTTCGCGCGAGTTTCGACAGGAGCTGGGGCTTCTCCCGTCAGTACAGAAGATACTTCCAATGCATCCATGTATAGCTTGACCCGGAAACGTCAATTGTCATAATTTGGTTCGGTCAGCTGCGGGATTCCTTTCTCGAATGGACCCATAATCTATTGTAATATGGACTAGGCGGATTGGCAGACAGGCAAAGACACAGTCGTAGCAACTACAACTAACGTTTATTTGGTTTTAAATGGGCAAGACAGCTTGGGTAGTTGGGAAATGCCAGCTTTTGATCTTCCACAAGCGCTTGACAGCTTTTCAAAGCCTACTTCTTCACTTTTGTATCCCGTTCCATTGATTCTAAGTATTTTTGATCCTCTGTGCTTCTGTGCTTCTATGCTTCTGATCTTCTGTTCTTGTTTTCGTATGTCCTTTTATTATCTGTTCTTCTATTTGCGTGTTTGTTTTATGATTATTTTCAAATCTGTGCTTTTGTTTTTCAGTTTTTTTCTGTTCATGCAGATTTTAATTCTTTACACCTACTTTTTTCTATTCCTTTCATTTTGAACTCTGCTGATTTTTCGATCCTTCAATCCTTCCTCTATTATTTTGATCTTCTTGTCATCTTTTGTTGCTTAAATCTGATCATTTGAGATTTAAGTAGTAATTAACTCTGTAGCCGCACCAAATCCGTACTCAATTATTAAAATCAACATCTCCATGACAAATGCTTTCAATATCCTCCCACTTTCCTTACCACATTCGCTTCAAACTCGGTTACCCACAAAACTATCGCTTCAACGATTTACTCGATCCCAATTCGGGCAACTTTTTAAGGCATCGTAAAACCAATCTGTGTAGCGGGAGCACATTTTCCAGAGTAACCACATTTCGCGGTACATTAAATCCGAACCCGGGTGCACTGGCAACCATTTTACGGCAAGCAAACTGCAACTTGTAAGCCATTAAATGCACACCCCTAAACCACACATTCACCCCGCCAGTAAACAGCCATCTATTTTGCGCTGAGCTATTGATTTCGCCAACGAACCACAAAATGCACTCGGCTAGATGGGTACGTGCTGCACCTGTGGCCACCTGCCGGCAGATATGAAGCATAAACTTATCCCACTCTCGAAACGAACTACGACACACGTAGATATTTTCATTCAGATGTCAACCACAATTTTCAATTGTCTGCCCATTTTACCCCTCGCCTTCGCCCAGGCTGCGCCGCATTTGAACGTTGAAGCATTCATTGTGTATTGCACAGCCATAAATTCGATTCATATAATGTTTATGTCTGGTTCGTGGCCCTCTCCACCGGCACCATCCCGCGCCGCGTTCGATTCACGGTGGATTGAGATCATCATCGTCGCCATCATCGTAGAGCGCAACATGGTGAACCGCTACCGGAAAGCGCGAGACCGACGACTATGACAACGGCACGACATCCTCGGTTGCAGCTGCCAATTCCTGCTGCCAGGACCTGCCATAAGGTGAGGAGCTCGGGACCGGGCCGGCATCGATTTACAATGCGAAGAACAACTATGGCACTGCTGGTGTTTGTGTTAGTAGTACTGCGATGAATTTATGATCGAATCGTGAATGGGAAATAGGACACTGTGAGGTGACTTAGAGACATCGCGTTTGAAGATGATACTGGAAGATTATAATAGGGCATTTGAAATGTCCGGCTGGTTATATGATCGAGATTTCAGGCAGGGTTGTCAAGTTTTTTTTGTGTCGTAGACTACGTCTTACGGGAAAGTACGAAAATCTATAATTGGGACCGTCACGTGAAGGTGTTAAGTTTTGGACGCTTATAACTATGTCATTTATAGATGAAATTAAAATCCATCCTAAATGGAGATGGAGAGAGTTGGAAAACAACTCTCTGTTGGTTATATATTATGATCTAGGTTTGGGAAATTGTTGCCAGGTTGTTTTTCAAATACCATAAATCTTCAGGAGTGGTGATCATCAATTATTTAAAATCAGGATAAATCATGATTTGAGAGGAACTAGCCAACTGGCTAACAATCTCAATAACAAATTTAAAAAAGCCATTATGATAAATCAGAATACCTGGCAACCCTGATTTGGGGAAAACATCACAACAAAATGTTGCTAATGCTCACGTAAAGCAGCCGACGCGTTGCTATTTGATGAGTAAACACTGTGCTGCTTCCCTATTCTCAGGTATGCGCCATGGCTGATTTCCCATCCCAAAAACATTCCAAAACCTCCTCTATTCTGCCATCGACAAGAGCGTTCTACCGCCCAGCCAGCCATATCTCACCGGTACACTAGGTGGCACTTGACAGCCAAAGCCGTATATCGAGTGTTGTGCATGCATGTGTCTGCAAAAGCCCGAAGCCTTCCCATGAATAACTGCATAAAGTGCGTGTGAAGGATGCCGTCGGGTTGACAGAAATAAAAAAAAAAATTGATCCCTTCCAACTGAACCGGGCTCACAGCAGATGGCCGTGTGCAAAAGGCAGAAAACGACGATCCGAGAGAATGAGGTTATGTCACAGGTCGCTGCCGTGCCGCTATCAAACCGGAGCGCTCCGAACGACAACGACACCGACAATGCAAATCGTAAACATATCATTACACGAGTGGCTCATTTCCTGTTGCTGTCACTGCCGCTGCCCGCCCCGGGGCGGGGAGGTACGCATAAATGATGATCGAAGCAAGCCGAGCGAAGTTATGTTTCGCCATATTCCGGACGCGTCAGCTGCTGCGCTGCCGATCTCTATCGAGAACGTGATTCCACCGAACGGCTCCGGCATTTCCCCGGCAGTTATTTGAAAAATTCCGTCAAGTAAAGATTTATGACCGCTGAACAAGATGATAGCTTGGAAAAGTGCGTCGATGATTTGTCAGCCAAACAAAATCAAATAATAATCGCCAAATTTTCGCAGCGCAAAATTTTCAAACCTCATTTGTCAGGCATCAAGTTTCCCACTTCGAACCAAATCCCCTTACCCAGAAGGAAGGCACTTTCTGACAAATTTACAGCTTTGCGCCCTCTCCCACTCCCACCAACAAGCACTGGCCTACTCAATTGACTTTGCGTGCCGGAACTCTCCGCTGACGGGCTAGTCAAAGTATGCCATGATTTAAGAATTGACCACGTGCTTTTGGAAAGTTTCTGCCGTCGCTCTGGCGGCTTCGGGCATCAGGGGGAAGAAGGAAAAACGAAAATTACTTACCAATTTCAGCCAAATGTTGGTGATCAGAAGTTGGTTCTTCTCGTCCTGTGGAAAGAAAAGAGAGCAAAAGAGGGCAAAAATTAGTTCGTTAAGCAGCAGATGATGAAGCCCGGACCAAGTGGAGTGAAGGGTGGTGAAAATGAATACTAAATTAAAAATGATTATTCAGAAAGTCTTCGGTTGGCTTTTCCCGGAAAAGCCGGGTTGCACTGTGGAGACGGCGAAAAACGAACGATGATGGAGTGGTGGTGCTTTCGTTGAAATGGCCAAATGGAGGGCTTTCTCGTCCGGAGGAGGAAGATTGCCTTGGGAGTGCTTTTTCTTCCGAGATGCGATTAAGTGATCTTTGGGCGGAAATTTTGCTTCGCGATGAGAACGTTGGACAGTTTGGAAAGGATTGGTTTGGGATGGGAGGATTGTTTTTTGATGATGGTGACTGATTTTCGCGTAGAAATCAGTCTATCATTGTAAAGAATCACTTATTACCGGGTAAATGACCCTTTGTTTTTTAAAGAAGGTGCTGATAACAATCGTTTTTTCTACACTCAAAAGCGGGAAATCAAGGCAACCTTAAAAGCGAAACCAACTATCTGCATGAATTTCAATTTTGACAAGACAACATGGACGAGTGCACCGATGAGTTTCAGCTCCTGCATCGACGAAAATTTGACACCAAAGTAGAGCAACCCGACGAGAACGTTATAGCAAAAGTTTGTCACGATTGTATCAAATTCTGTTATAAATATCAATCGTTAATATACCGTTCCGATTCAAATTTCGGACGATTCAAATTTTGGACACTTTCATTTTTAATTAAATATTACATCCAGTTAGAAACAAAGTAATAATGTTAGATGATCGTCGAGGGCACTAGTCAAAAAAATTTAAAATTTACAAGACATGTGGATCATATTCGACCGAGATAATCAACTTTTAAAAGTGTCCGAAATTCGAGTTTAAGTGTCCGAAATTTGAATCGGCACGGTAATCTTAATTTAAGCGCTCTGTTTGACAACACTGCCGATGCGCTGCGGTTGAATTTTTCGCTCCCGACTTTTCGCGTATTTCCGTGTTATTTCCGTGTCCGTAAGTCTCTGTTCCTGTTCCGGAAGCTCGGCTGGTGGTTCCAGATCAACGAGAAAGTGGAATTTAGTATTTTTTATCCACATCTAGTGAGGAATTCCCGGTATTCGTTTCGGACGAAAAGTTCGTTATCCGTTCTGTTCTGTTGTGTTTGTGTTTGTGAATACTGCTATGCAGCAGTAAATTTATTGAGTGTGTAGCGTTGTGGTGCGATCATGAAGGAAGAAGTTTGCGGCATCTGTAAGCAAGATGAGCCTCCGAAGAAGAAGAAGACTGGAGCGAATAAGAAGAAAACCAGTGATGAAATCGGATGGATCGGCTGTGACTCCTGTAATAAGTGGTTCCATACTGTATGTGTGCGGATCAATCCGGCCCTCTTAGCCATCGTAACAGAGCATATCTATCTATGCGAGAAGTGTTCGATTATCGGATCGCTGCTGCCCAAAGCCCAACAGACCAGTTCCAGTGAAAAGTGTGAAGAGGCTCAGAAGAGAATCGATGAACTCACCATGGAATTAAGGAAGCTGCAATCCGATTTGCAGCTGCTTCAATCTAATATAAAAAAAAAAAAAACAGATAGACTGCGTCCAAAACAAGCTGCAAACGATCGACCAGTTGGAGAGCAGGAGAACATCTTGCAGCACTCTAGTTGGGAACATTGAGGAGAAGTTAGAATTAATCCAAACAGGTGCGAAACTCGCTAACACCTGTTCACAAAGTGTGAACATATGTCGCACGTAACAGCTTGCTTCCGACTTCCAGTAAAGCCTTCCAAATGGACTGACCGAAGCCTCACCCCCACGGTGCTTGTCGCTTTCAATAGCAGAGAGATAAGATCGCTAGTTCTCAAACGCTACTTCGAAAAGCACAAAGACGCCAAGTTATGCAACCTTAAATCCGCAGCCCCACTAGAATATCGCTTCACAGTAAATGAAATGCTCTCCATTCAAGCTTTCCGCATCCGCAACCTGGCCCTGAGGCTGAAGCAAAAGAAAATAGTGCAGTCCATTTTCGTCCGAAACGATAAGATATTTGTGTGGCTGGCCGGACTGAAGCGTTTTGTTCCAATAATGGACTGCAACGAATTGCTCAAGCTAACTGGGACTGATGCCAGCATAGATGAGTCCTCAGTGTTTTTCGACGCCTTGTCTGCAGACGTATCATCCCAACAATGACCACCCACCACACGCTAACCTTTCTCAAAATACGAATATCTCCGAACAATAACATCTCTAATCTACGACATGGACATCTAAACGTACGAGGACTTGAAAGCCACATCGACGAGCTCAAACTACTGCTTCACAGGACGGAATACCACTTCTTCGCAGTCACGGAAACGAAACTAAAATCCTCTGCACCTGTTGGACCAGTCCGTGTACCAGCTTACAACTTCGTGAAACATTCATTACCATCCAACAGAGGCCGTGGAAGCAAATCCTGTGGAGGAATCGGGATTTACGTGTTGAAAGGTCTGACGGCAACCCCAGTACTCAAATCTACATACGATCCAGACGTGTTTCTAGCTCAAAGGTTCGAGTATCTCGTCGTTAAGGTAAAAATCAACGATCTCAACATTGAAATCGTCACCATCTACAATCCCTCCGTTTCGAACCCGCATTTTGCACGAGAGTACGAGAAGCTCCTTTTCGATGTCCAGGATTTCACCTTCGACCGAATCTTCGTTGCCGGAGACTTTAACATCAACGTCACTGCTCAACAGTCATCAGGAAATCTGAGATCGCTCATCCGTATTCACGATGCCTTCCACCTTACCATCCTACCAACACCACCCACAAGAATAGCAGAAAGAAGTTCAACGACAATCGATCTACTCATCACAGACAGTCCTGAATCTGTACGTACAGCTAAGACAAAATCCTCGAGCCTCTCAGATCATGAGATCATCTTCTTGATCTCCGACGTTAAAGTTAGAAAAGCAGCACCTCAGCGTATTATGGTCAGAAATTTCCGTAATGTTGATGTTGTTGCACCTCAGGCAGACTTCCAAACAATGGACTTCAGAGAGGCACTCAACACCGACGACGTTAACACTAAAGCACAGACAATAACAACCAAACTGCTAAACCTAATGGACAGACATGCTCCTGAACGTGAAATTGTTGTAAAAGATGCACGTACGCCATGGATTACAACAGAAATTGAAAGGGCGATTGCCGTGAGAGACCTAGCACACGCACTCTACACGCGAAATCCCAACAGGAGAAGGAACGACAATCAGTGGAACGACTTCGTACGAAAACGCAGTAAGGCAGCATCGTTGATCTCAGCAGCAAAGAAGCGATACGGGGAAACGCATTTTGCACACAACCTCCCTGCAAAAAAGCTTTGGAGCAACCTTCGGCGTGAGGGTGTGCATAACAACGCCAAGAAGAACGTTGCCGCTGAACATGCTGATCCTGATGAGATGAACCGTTTCTTCTGCGAGGGACATCGACTGCTTGTGACTGACAATAGAGCAGAAGTTGAACCGGCGCACCGTACCGCTACGGACCGTGGTGGGATGCAGTTCGAATTCCGAAGGACTACAGCCAACGAAGTGTCACGCAAGATTATGGAAGTTCAAACCAATGCTGCAGGTTCAGATGGTATCCCTATCTCATTCGTTAAGATGTTGGTCCCGTTTGTACTGCCTGCACTGGTTCACCTGTACAATGCGGTGATTGATGGCAGATCGTTCCCTGCCGTCTGGAAAAAAAAGGTCTCATCACGCCCATTAGTGTTCTCCCTGCCATCTCCAAGATTCTCGAGAAGATCCTGCTCGACCAAATTGTTGGGCACGTGGAAGCGGACGATCGCAGGTTGCTTGCATCGAACCAATCAGGATACAGAAAGGGCCATAGCACAACAACAGCTTTGGCAAAAGTGACGCACGATATTTATGACCATTTCGACAACGAGCAGTGTACAGTTATGGTCCTGGTTGACTTTTCGTTGGCCTTCAACTGTGTTGATCATCGCAAATTACAGAGAAAACTTCGAGAGGAATTTTCTTTCACCGACAATGCATGCGACCTTATCTCTTCTTTCCTCGATCATCGCACCCAGGCGGTACGGATAGGAAATGTGATGTCCTCCCATAGATCAGTGATAGATGGTACACCCCAGGGCTCGTGCTTGAGCGCTCTGCCATTTAGCCTCTACATCAATAGCCTTCCCCGTGGACTGAGATGCAGTTATCAGCTCTACGCTGATGACTTACAGATCTACATTTCTGGTGCCATCCAAAACGTAGACCAACTCGTCGAAGCCATAAACAACGATCTGGAAAGCATAGAGCGATGGGCCAGGCAGAACTCTCTTTTCCCCAACCCGAAGAAGACGCAAGCAATTATTTTTTGCAAAGAAGGAGCGGTAGCACCAACCACTAACATCGTTTTCTGCGGAGAACACATTATTTTGTCTGACAATGTAGTGAATCTTGGTCTAAGGATGGTAGGCAACCTGAAGTGGAATGGACATGTGAACGACATAATGGCCAAAGGTTTTGGAACGTTGCGGACACTCCGAAGATTCGCTCCAGTTTTGTCAGTTCAAACCCGAATAACCAGTCGATCTGATTTTTTGCATGTGAGTAGGGTCAATGGAGAATTAATCACTAGCAGAATATCAGAGCGCTGTGATGAAAACCCACCGAGCCAAAGCGGTGGGTGCAACTCATAGTGGGTAACGCGTTCTTCGGGGGAAAGCTGAGCGTCTTAATGGAATATACTGGGGTGCAAATCAAAAAAAAAAAACTTGTGTGACGAAATAAGGTCAGGTTTTGAACAGTTATAACACCACAATTTATGAATGAATTTAGATTTTCGATACACCATTGCACTCAGATTTGATGTAAGATTTGTGTGATATTAATATTGTAATTATTTATCACTAGTAAAGCACCAAAAATGAATCAAACTTAATGGCAAAAACTGACCAATACACCGCAGACCGTAGAC